CCCCTTCCCATTCAAACTAAACCCAGCTCGATCTGGCCAGCTGGCTTTATCATCCTTCTTGTGACTTGTGAGTTAGTGAAGCATACTCTGGGTCTCAGGGAAGGATGATTTGGGAAATGAGAAAGGAATGGGAAGCTAGGCATGTGAGAGGACTGAGGAATGATGGAGAAGAACAGTGTCTGTCACGTGAGCGATGATAATCATAATATACATGCTCTGCACAAAAAAGAAAAAGAAAAAAAAAACAAAAAAAATGCATACGTATATAAGGCCCAGAGAGAGAGAGAATTTGTTGTTTTTATTAACGAGAAAGAGAGAAAAAACTGGAGAAGGAAAAGACGTGTCTTTTTGTTGGAAAACATGAATGAATGATGAGAGTGATGACAATGGTGATGATGGTGACGGAGGGGTGGGTGTTTCTCTCTTTCCAGTGCGAGGCGTGCGACTACCATGTGACACCATGCATCCTTCATACTTCATACATACACCCATACGTGATTCATTCTACAAAATCCCATCTGTATCCATTAACATAGAGTCATAGACCTTTCCTTTGTCTCCACTCTGGAGTGGATAATACATAATACAGGTATTGTATTTATAAACAATGATTTGCTTTAACTAGCTAGCGTTGCATTCTATGCTATTCATCCTCTTCCTCTCTCCTCTAAAATCAAAAGCAAATGAAAGCTGAATTTGAAAAGATTATAACTACAAACACGTATAATATAAAATATATACAAAATAAAACAAAGTATAAAATTTATTTATATTCCTTCCAACAATCCAACCTGAGCTAAATAAATGAAATAGTATCAATTATGTATGAATTTATAGTATGTACGTATCTGAATTTCCAACAATCTAAAATACAAATCTCCGTTTTTCACAGCAGAATATGGAATTGAGGTAGAAACCGAAACTGGTGGGGGGGAGGGGGGGGACCTTGTGGTTCAATGAGAGGGAGTCGGTGAGAGGAAGGGCATTCACGGACCACGGTTCACACGCACCCAAAATAAAATTGAAGAGTGGAATGGGTAGGAGGAGTAGGACGACATCTCAGACTCAGAGTACAAAGTTCACTCCAAATCTCAGCCTGTAGTAC